ACTCTTGTTTTAACTTAGGATTTTTTCCCACTCACATTATATTTAATTCATTATTTTCCTGACTCTAGAAATCATTTCTGATCATGCAGGGATCACTCAAACGTGTCCGTCACACATGCAGGAAGTAATTTGCATCTKTTTAACATATGTTAATGAAGGCGTGTCAGGGGAGGTGTCTCACCTGCGCTCAGTTCCACGTTAATTGTGATGTACAAAAGAAATGTGCGTGGATTCATGCGTACGCACAGTTTGATACATCTGGATTTTTTTGTACGTACGCCGTTTTCTGGATTTGACCGTACGTCAGCTTTCAGTAAGAAATCCACGCAAGTCTTTGTACATGAGGCCCCTGGTGCTTCTCGTTAACATTCGCTGTGCAAAAAGCAGGGTACACCCTGGACAGGTTGCAAGTCCATCATATCACAGGGACACATAGAGACAATTATTCACATATAGGGACAACTTACAGGAGGTTTACAATGTCACGTTCCTCGTCTCACTGCTACGACTGAGCACTTCTAACAAACAATAACTGAGCTCTACCTGGTATTTCCCGCATTCAAACAGTATTTTAACACGTCCTCTTATAAACACTGAAAAGTACTGTGTACGACTGACTAAATGTGAAATAAATAATACAGAAATACTATTAAAAGCAAAAGTAAGACTTATACTCACTGTTGAGTTGTGATGAGTAGCTGCAGTCTTGAATTATGAACTCTCCCTCTTTCTGACAGAAAATTCCAACTGGAGGGGTGTTCTAGTTTAAATTTACAGCTTGAAAGTGGGGAAATCCCACTTACAAGTATAACTGGGCTGCAGCAAATGTAGCTGGCGAAAATGCAGTGAAATGGATATTTTCCACAGTGAATTTTGATGGCTATTTTTTAACGATATGCATCTCCACCAAGTGGTGGAATGCCAATATTTTGCAAGAAATAATCAACATGCATTATGGGAGATGTAGTTTACTGTCAATGCTGGCTTTAAAACAACATATTTTAAGACAGGGCTATTCAATTGGCGGCCCGCGGGTCGCATCCGGCCCGCCAATTGGTTCATTCATCTCTTAAGCCCAAACCCCCGGTTTTCTACTTTAATTACTATAAGTTTATTTAGTTAGACATAAACATGTTTGGTGTTTACAGAAACATCAGAATCTTGACTAGAAGCTGGTAAAAACCATTTCTATAAACACTCAAGGCAGTTTAAACTACAAAAAGTTGAAACTATGAAAGTGAAAATAAAATCAGTGCCATAGTTTCATTAGAGTGTGAGTTTTTACAGAAACTAGGTTATTTTGAAGAAAAGCAGTTTTAACAGGAACAGGTTAAATCAAAATGTGTCTGCTTGTTGCACTGATCCTGCTCAGCTCCTCTTCACTGGCTGATGAAGGCTATCCACGCTGCAGGAAGATGTGCTGCTGCAGCCCAAGGAAGGCGCAGCGGAGACCCGCCAAACACAAACCAACCAGAGGATGGAAAAATCAAACCCCTAACAGCCATGCAGAGGATATTACTGTTTTGCGGCGCTGCTTGTCCTGGGAACAGCTGCCTACTGTAAATCTATTAGGGACAGCTTTTTTTGGCTACACTGAGCTCTGTGGTTCACGTTCATAGCTATAACCAGCATCCAGAACGTAAACGCTGGTTGTTAGAGCCGTGGCTGGCTGAGGCTCCACGCTCCCAGAGCCAGTGGTTAGAGTCGCAGCCAGCTAAAGCTTGTGCTTGTGGGCAGCTTAAAGCCTGGCCAGAGCAGACAGTCGATCACTGTCACCATGCTGATTATTTTCTAAATGTAACACATGAAGGTGGAGCAGCTACAGCATGAATGTCAGCATGCAGAGGTGGGAAGAAGTGTCTGCAGCAAGTTGCAGATGAACTTTGAGACCCTGTGGTGTTTTTTTGTTTGTTTTTTACTTTTAAGTCTGATCGTCATTGATCAAACATGTGACTTTAAATGAAACAACATCCCAGATTTCCCAGAGTTTTATATGTGCCTGACTGGAGGTTTATGTTGGATGAAGTTATTTCTAATTCACATGCGCCAAACTCAAGGCCCAAGAGCCACATTTGAGCTTTGAAGAGGTATTAATGTCTCATAACAAGCTGCTTTAAAGACAGCATTAACTGTAAACTACCTGTGAAATGGTGTCATCACAGCACTAGGTGGAGCTGCACAGGGTGCAAAAGTAGCCGTCAAAATCCACTGTATAAATCTACATTTAGCTGCATTTTTGTCGGCTACTTTTGCTGCAGCCCACTTGTATTGGGAAGTGGGGATCTCCCACTTACACGTTGTAAATTTAAACTGGAACACCCCTCCAGTGGGAACTCCCTGTCAGAAAGTGGGAGAGTTCAGAATTCAAGACAGGACAGCTACTTACCACAACTCAGTGAGTAAAACTCTTACATTTACTTCTTATAGTATTTCTGTACTATTTATTTCACACTTAGTCAGTTGTACATGTAGTACTTTTCAGTGTTTATAAGAGGACGCGTTAAACACTGTTTCTATACAGGAAATACCAGGTAGAAGAGCTCAGTTAGTGTTTGTTAGCTGTGCTCAGCCGTGAGTTTAATACTTTCTTTTACTACTTCGGTGATTTCACTATTGTTACTTCCTGTTATCTTTTTCTTTTTTGTCTTTTCGCCAGCAGAAACAGTCTGTTCTTGATCACGTGACTCCCGTGATGCGAAAAAAGTGTTTCCATTGCAGTTTTGCAAAATACATCAATTTCGATACGGCCGAAAAACCACCTCTTCCTAGTGCAAAACCATTTTGTCGAAAAATTTAATTTTTTCCAAATTTGACGTGTTTGCATTGAGCAAATTTATTTTCGAGATTCTAATTTGCGCATTTTCATGGTCAATGGAAACGCAGCTACAATTTATATACAGGAAATACCAGGTAGAGCTCAGTGAGTGTTTGTTAGCTTTGCTCAGCCGTGGCAATGAGATGAGGAACATGACATTTCATGTTTAGTCAAAGTTAAAGACAAAATGTTAAAGTTAATGAGTTTGACACTGATGGTCTAATTAAAATATTAGTATTAATAATAAAAATTACTCAATAAATTTTTTAAAGTTCTTTTAAGTTGTATATATTCACTTGGAATACTAAAAAAACTTTTTGTTTAGATTTTTTTTTTAATAAACTGAAGAAAGAACATTATTTTCTTTCAAGAAGAAATAATATTTTCCTCATAATGAAAGCTTAGCATAGGTTAGAAAAGAGGAAATTATAGCTGTTTAGGTCAAACCAAATGTAAATGACATCATGCTCAGTCTGGTGAGATCTTGTGAAACGACTGCGCTCTCAGAGTACGTGTTGTGAATGACTCTCAGCTACTGCCAGAAGGAATTTATCTCAATATAAGTCATTCTAACTAAAGATCATCACACCGTATCTAGTTGTTTTTATTTTTAAAAAAGCTACTAAGTATTTTAATAAAAACAAGTTTCTAAAAATAACAGCTTTTATTTGCTGACATCACGACGATTGTGAGTGAAATGAGGAGAGACGCTCAAACAGCTGTTAACTGAGCTGAAGGAGCGCTGACCTCAGTGTGAACAATCCCGTCCAACACAAAGGCAACATAAACACATCTCTCACACCTGTCAGGTCACTGCTCGGAAATTACGTGACCCGACTGCCACTTTAGACCTGATATAACCTGCAGGACAAGCCAGGCACTTTGCAAACACGACCCATGGGCAGAAATGTAATTAAGGAATGGTTTCTGGAGCAGCTCCTGTTTGCTGCGGCAGGCTTGAAATCATCACGAGGTCTCCCTCCCCAGGTATCATAATGATTTAAGTCAGCCTCGAGTCAAGGTGAGCTCTCGTGCAGCCCACGATCTGTCTGCCACCATCACTCAGACCCTAGAGGTGACAATCATAACACGTCTAATTCACTGGAAAAAAACACACACACACACAACAGGCATTAAAGTGTGTGTTTGAAGCTGATGACATCCTGCTCTCCTGGTCTTCAGAGGGATAGGGTTGCTGGTTCCAGGCATCGGAACGGTGAAAATGCTGAAACATAAAGCCGAGGATCCCGTATCCATCTCAGGCCCCGAGGCCCTCCACCTGAGCTGCAGGAGAGAGGTAACCGATAGGCCCTCGGCTCGCAGCGGCCCTGGCTGCAGCTGACGCCACGGCAGCCGCGGCGCTAATTAGCTCCTATTGTTGATTGTTTCTGAAGGAAGGCTCGGCGGCCACGCCTCGCTGCTTCCCCGTCATCATCCTCTTTCTGTATGAGTGCTGCTCCTCCCTGCTGATTTATTCATGGCCTCTACTGACCAGCAGCTGTGGCTACTCTGAGTTCATCTGTGTTTAGCCTCCATCATAGGTGAGTGAGGTGTGATGGGTGAACAGCTGAGGCTTGAAGCTTTGACTAGAGGGCTGACAGGAAGATCTTCAGCTCAGTTCACTTGTTTTCCTATTTTAAATCAACCAAACGATACTTTGGCCTCTATTGTAAGCTACAGTCATCTGCGCCTAAAGAACGAATGAACGACCTCATCTCATGACGACTTGTCGCCACTGAAATATTCATGGCGTTAAGGAGTGTCGTGCTTTTCGAACAAAAGAGCCAATCTCCTCTGCGAGTCCTCGGCGGCAAGCTGAGAAGTGAGGCTCTCGTCCAGGGCGCATGCCATCGTGGCCCGTAATGCCTTATTAAACACAACAGCCCTCATCCTCCCGCTCTCCTGGAACTCCTCGACCGAGAGCAACGCAATCAGGCTGAGTGGAGGAGCGCTGCCCGGGAAAGTGACCCGCTTGACCCCCGAACGGAATACACGCAACAAATTAAGAAAATGATTCGCAGAGGGTTCCAGGATCCTCCAGATGTTTGCTGTTGACTGCAGCCCCCCGTTTGAGCTTTGAGTTTTCACAGCAAACAGCTGGCCCACAAACTCAGAGGGAGGGGGAACACAAAGAGACGACATGTGCAAAAATAAAAGTCCACGGTGGCTGAGGCGGAGAGCTTACGTTTCTCTCTTTGGCACGGAGATATCTGGCACATTCGGAGTGGCCGTTGTACTCTGCTAAGTCTGCGGCTGTGAATCCGTCAATGTCTTGATCTGTAGGGTTTGCTCCATTCACCAGCAGGACTTTACAGCACTAGAAAGAAAATGGGACAAATTTCACAAGTGAATGAAATTATGCTTTATTAAAAATCAGGTGTCAAATAACTGAGTACAAATACTTTATTTAAGTAGAGATTTTGGTTATTTATATTTTAGTGGGGTATTTATTTTCTGCCTACTTTTTACTTCTACTCCTTACATTTTAATTCAATTATCTGTACTTTCTACTCCTTACTTTTTAAAAATGTACAAAGTATTTCATTTCTATTTAACTTTAACTTGTTTTTATTCCATCTTTTCATTGTTCAGAAAAATAAAAAAAACAGAAATCTATCCAGATACATGGAGCCCTTGGATAGAGTGAGTTTGATTGTGGTTGGATGAGAAGTGTAAATATAAACCATTCTGACATCCTATTGGAGTGAACACACTCCATCACACCTGTATGACATAAATCACATCACATTCCAGCAGGACAGACTGTAGCTGATGCAGCCTAGAATGATGATCATCATGGCTGAAACAAGTAGTCTAGTCAGTTCATTCCAAATTTTTCAACATTAACATTTTAATTTAACTTTATACTCATTATTCACTTTAGAAGAAAAATGGTGGGGGTGGGGGGTAATGCTATACGCCAGGGCTATTCAACTAAATTGCTCCGAGGGCCACAGTTACTGCAGGCCAACAGCTCAGGGGCCGAACATCCAGCAATTAAAGTCATTATGTAAATAAATAAAGTATTACAAAGATCTGTTACCTTTGAAATCGTTTATTTTGCTGTATTTAATCATGAATACAACATACAGAACCCTATAAAAGGAATGATAATTAAACAGTATCAAAATTAACACATTCTGCCTCCTGTTAGACACAAATATTATTTTGACATCTCTGATTTGCCAAATTTTTAAACCAATTTTATTTTTACTTTCATAATTTTACATTCAACTGCTTGTAGTTTTAACTGCCTTGAGTGTTTATAGAAATGATTTTTACCAGCTTGTAGCCAAGATTCTGATGTTTCTGTAGACACCAAACATGTCTATGTTTAACTAAAGGGCCTTAAATTAATTAAAGTAGAAAACCGGGGGTTTGGGCTTAAGAGATGAATGAACCAATTGGCGGGCCGAACTTTGGTTACTCGCGGGCCAGATGTGGTCCGTGGGCCACCAGTTGAATAGCCCTGCTATACGCTATAGCAGTGGTTCCCACACTTTTCAGCTTTTGACCCACAAAATAGCAGCAGTAGAGACCTGTGCCCCCAGCTGTTGTTGGTAAATAAACATTGTTTTCACATCAAATAAACATGAGCATAGTAACACTATTAATTATGATTTTTATGTGATTTTTTTTCTTCTTCTGCTACCTTTTATTTAATTTATGATTTGTTTTTTATTTGTTGTATGTTGAATTTATGCTGTTTGTATATGTCCATTTTAAATACACAAATCTAATTATTTTGTAAAAACAAAGGAAAAAATGTTAAAAAAACATCTGGAACAAGATGAAAACCCTAAAAAAAAAATAAATAAATAAAATAAAAAGAAAATGACTGAAACCAACCTCCAGCTCTCCATTCTCTGCAGCATCATGTAGAGGGGTCCCTCCCCAGTAATCCTGGATGACCTTTGACCCCATGCAGAGCAGCTTCTCCAAGATGCAACAGTGCCCCCTGCTGGCAGCAAAGTGCAGAGGAGTCGCTCCTTCTCTGTCCTGACAGGACAAGCCCACGTCCGTGCAGGTCGCCTGTGTGGAGTTAAAAAACACCGAGAGTCAAACAGACAGCAGACGTAAGGAGAGCGGTCACATGACTCCCTGCTGACCAGCCACACCACCACCGCTTCATGGCCCATCTGAGCAGCTGCGTGCAGGCAGGTCATCCCATCCTGGGCTCTCAGGTGGACGTCAGCTCCGTAGTGTTTGACCAGGCGCTCAGCAACATGCAGGTGCCCCTCCTGGCAGGCCAGGTACAGGGGGGTAGCCCCGATACCTGTCTGGTGGTTCACACACCTGTGCTCAACAGACAACAGGAGCCCAGTTATGATCAGAAACTTTTAGTGCAGAGACTAATGCCTGGTTCACACAAGATTTTATATTTATTCAAAACTTGAGAGACTCCCACATGAGGATAAAAATCACAGATATAACAGGTTTGGTCTTACAGAACAACAAACATTTAGACGTCAGACCTCTGGAGATCAAATTTGAGTTCAGAGTAAATAGACATGACCGACGAAAAAGAAGCTATGATGATAGATTGTGGAATATTTTTAACAGAGAAAAAAAACACAAATAAATAAAAGATGCCTCGACTGTCCAACAGACTTTCTGATGCTCCATCAAATCACATTTATTATTTATAAAGTGCTTTAAAACAGGTGCCGCTGAAACAAGGAGCTGTACAAAGAGGTCAAACAATAAAACAAACCAACAGTAAAAACAACAAAAACAGTTCTTTCTTTGTCAAATGCTTTAACTTTTCAGAATTATGTTTTGTATAGAGGTATTAAACTATATTTTCAGATTTTTAATGGTGCCATTTATGTAACTCTTTTTTCTCTGATGCCCAAACCAAATCATGCATCGTTTAACTGGTCTGTTATAAGTGGACTGCAAGTGGTAGTTTGCCACTACCAGCCTTTAAAAACTGTTATGGCCACAGATCATTTTTCTATGTTTATACTAAAGCATGCAATGACATTTGACAACATATAAAGTCCACCTGGGGCCCTTTAAGAAGACTCTTGCTCATCATCTGTTGGACACCTTTTTTGCAATCATATTTATGTGTCTACTGTGCAAATGCTGCGTTCTGTTTGTAATTTGGTATGCCTGTTTGTCTGTGTGTCTATAGTGTGTAATAATGTGAAGTTATGTTTGGATATCTGAGTGTTTTTATGTGCTGCAGAACAGGAACCTGCTGTAAAACAGCAGTGATGATGTGCCAGGCCTGATTTCTTTCGATCTTTCCTTGTTTTAAAAATCAAATCAAATCAAATTAAGCTCTCGTTAAAAAAGTGCTAGGTTAAAATCCAGTGAACAGGAATAGGTTTTAAGAGTTGCCTGCAGCAACAGAAAATGTTCGATCCTGATTTGAGGTCGGAGCGGTCCTGACGTCCTTGTGAGACGACTAGATCACTCTGAACACACCACACACCGCAGAAATATCTCCTAGGATTATCTTTAGAGACATCATGATAATCGAAGTGTCCTTAGGATTGCCAGAAGTGGAGAACTGGGCCAAAAATTGGCACAATTATGAGAAGTGAACCCTGTTCACAATGACTGAAAACAAATGTGAGGACCTATACAAATGTTAAGATATTTGAAAATGTTGCAGCTAGTTTGATTGAAAAATACTTTTACTCTTTGCTTTACTTTAGTAGGAAAAAAAACCATAAAAGCAAAAACAATGAAAGATCTAGAATTTATTGAAGGGATGCATATCACCCTCTGTCTTTCATGACAAAACTAAGATCTTATAGTAAGAATTGACATACATGACCTTGAAAATAACACATCGTGCAATATGATGAGATGTCAGTATCAGAGTATGTTTTCTGAGTGACTCTCAGCTACTACCACATCAAATTTGACACAATTATCTGTAAGATTTTACAAGTTGGCTACTATTGATTAGCTGTGGTGACCATATTGAACGGAGCTGGTGTTACATGTACAGTAATTGTTTCTTTAGTTATCTTAGAGCAGAGATCAGGTCTGCAGGACCTCCTCCGCTCCACTGACCTGACTCAAAACCCTGCACCTCGACCGAAGCAGATCTGACATCAACAGTGTTTGACCATTCATTATTCACAGCTCTCTGCTGGTCACATGCAGCGGCCTGTCCGGGGGGGGGG